GTAGCACTTAGTAGGAGGAAGTTGCAGCAGAAAGACAAGAATGGTGGAGGGTTCCTCACAAGTTGATCCATGGAATCAAAGCCTGCTCCCAAGCTTTCTGGAGATACTCTAATGTATTAAGATTTTTTTGCCACTGTGATTTAATACCTGATAGAAACAATCAAAGGCAGGCAGGGTTTATTTGGTTAATTTCTGTTTCGCACGGTTCAGTTCATGGTAGCTTGGCCTCGTGCACTTGGGCAGAACATCCTAGAAACATTAGCATGTGACAGACTAGGTTCTTCACAGTGGACAGGAAGCAGAGTATAACATTAATAGGACGTAGCTCAAATGTGCTATTCCTGTTGACCTTTCTTCGATCAGGTCCCACCTTCTGTCATTCTACCAGCTCTTCATAGTCTGTTCATACTTTAAATTCTTCAATGGATTAAGCTATTCATTATGTCAGAGCCCTCATGATCTAATGTCTCTGGATGTTATGTTCTCAGACACACCTAGGGGTGTTCTTTACTAATCTGGAGTATTTTTCAATCCAATTAAGTTGATAATTCATCCCATAATTATCCCAGAAATAGACAATAAAAAGAGATACAGGCAATAGCCCATTTTCTGTTGATTAGATTTTAAATTTGCTGCATCTTTTTTGAAAAATAGTCACATGAAAACTATTCATGTGACTAGCTGATAGTCTTACATTTAAATCAGTCACTTGCAGGATACTATAGATTATGAAAAAGATTAAGTAAGCTTCAGATTTTTCTGCCTCCCAGAAACTTACTGTGTAGTATGTGGGGTTTACTCAGGTATGACATGTCTGTTAGCCCAGCATCTGAGAGGTGGAGGCTGAAGAATAAGGAGTTCAAAGTCATCCTTGGCTACATAGTGAATCCTGCTTGAAGTACATGAGACTCTGGTCTCAAGAAAAAGAGGAGGAGGAAAAGGAGGAGGAGGAAAAGGAAAAGACTAGTAAATTAGAACGGGGTAAGGATGAGTTTGAAGAACTGAAGATTACTACTCAAGGTCTAGAACTTTGTCATTACCCCCTCTAGAGGTGGTATCTTTTTTTCTCCCTGAAGTTGGGCATATCTTCCTGTTGCCTTTACAAACACATTGCAATGAAAGAAGCAGGTGGCCACTTCCAGAGATATCCCTTGGCACCAAATATCATGTTGTGAGGGAATTTAGTCACATGGGGAAGCCAAATAGAGGTGTCAAGGGTTCACAGTGGGCATCAGTGGCCATGTTGAGTCAGAGGGCCTTTGATAATGCCAGTTTTAAACTTGCGAGCTGTCCCTGTGGATCATACGGTAGAGGCCCTGCAGCACCACCCTAAATTACACCCTTCTTCCAGATACATGTTATTTATTTCCTTGTCGGACATAGATCTGAACATGGGAACGCATCTTTAGAATTGGTTACTGAGTATATGCTGTTACTTTTGACATAGCTCGTTTCCGGAGACTTTAGAACAGAGGCCTGTGTGGGCGTGGTTTGAAGTCTGAATAAGGGAAATTAATTCGGATACCTTTTGTAACCAGTGTTTGAATTTAACTTCAATGTCCTTTGAGGTGGGTGCTATTTACCTTAGTTTGAAATAGCCAACTTTCATTGTCCAAAGTCATTCAAAAGGATTAAAATGTAGGGCTAGCTGATGTCTACCACCAGTTTTTTCCTACCCCATGGTGTCCAAGGGACAAGGGAGAACATATATATGGCAGGAGGAGCCATCAAGAGTCAAAATAGTGTGGCTTCAGGAAACCCAGCAGCAGGAGGCATAAAACCCTGATGTCTGTGTTTTGGTGCCGGAGAAGGAACATGGAGGTAAACAGGAGAGCATAATTTTGTAAGCTGTTAATTACACAATGTGTCGCAAATTTTTACAAATCTCTACGAAGGCCGGGCGGGGTGGCGCACGCCTTTAATCCCAGCACTCGGGAGGCAGAGTCAGGCGGATCTCTGTGAGTTCAAGGCCAGCCTGGTCTACATAGTGAGTTCCAGGACAGCTGGGGCTGCAGGGAGACCCTGTCTCAAAAAGATCAAAAATAAAAAAAAAGTGTCTACGAAGTTACAGAATGATGGAACCAAATGAAAGGCCGGTTCTGGCAGCTCAGGCCCGGGGCTCAGCGGACCAGCAGGGCGCCTAGGGAGGGGAAGCGCGGGTTCTGGAGGCCGATCTGGGACTCTGGCTCGGAAAGGAAAACCTTCGGCCCCCAGGGTCTTCCCAGGCTGCGGATCACGGGTAGAACGACCAAGACACGACTCGCCCTCTTGGCCCCGCCTCCAGGCGTCCGCCCCTCCCTCACTGCGGCGGCCGGCGGTGACCATGGCAACGCAGAGGCCATCGGCTGGGGGCGGGGCGGGGCGGGGTGGGGCGATGGGCGCGGGTCACATGACTAGGGGCGGAGTTTGCGCGGGGCTGGCGGAAGCCTGTCCACCGCGGCGCCTAGGCCGGAGTCGCCGGTAGCGGAGTGGAGGCAGTTCCGAGGCCGCGGGTCCCCGCCCGGCGTTAGCCGCGGCCATGGGCAGTGAGTCGCGGCGGGGAGCGGGGGCCTGGTCCCGCCCGGACTGGGGCCTCTCGGGGTCGTCCGGCCCGCGGGGCCGGGAATGCGCGGGTCTGGCTAGGGCTGCCGCAAACGGCGCGAAGCGCAGGGCCTTGGCCTCGGTTCCTCCAGGCCCGCGAGGCCGTGTTCGGGCGGGTCCTGGGGACCACCCGGAGGCCGGGTGCGCTTCTTAGGCGGCTAGGATGGAGGACGGCGCGGGGAAGCCGTTGGCTTGGGGGGACGGGGAGTCAAGGCGTCCGCCGCAGCCTGGACTACTTGTAATTTTTCTACATCTTGGGAAGCTCCTTTTTTAAAATTCCTGAATCACCGTTTCCTGGGGTGGTGTGATGAATAAGTCTTTCTAATTATGTTTTTTAATGCCATGCATAGCATGTTTTAGGAGAGGAAAGGAGTGTGTTCCGTAGCTCAGCATTTTCCTCAAAATGTTCATCCTAGTCATTCCATAGCGTTCATTGAAAACTGTAAGTTTGTGCATGCGGTAGGGATGAGGCCTCATATTAGGGGATCCTTCGAGGGTCCTGCTCCAAGCACTCACCCCCCCCCATTCAGACAGATACTTAACTAGCCGTTCAGATGTTTATTTGATGAACGGACAACTGCACTGCCGAAGCCGTGCACCCATTGGCGTATTGGTAGACATTTGGGGAAAACTGGAAAGTAGATAAACCCTTGGTTTTAAATTTAGAAATGATGAATGGAATTCCACAGCACAGGGTAAGACAAGTGGTATGCAGAAACATTGTTTGAAAGTGAATGCCAATACAGATAATTATAAATGCCAAGAAATCTGGGAGGGTCACTCAGATTGACATGGAAAGGAAAACGGATTAAAGAGGTTCTGGGAGGTTTTCTGATGAGGCTTATAATTGTTTTGCATTACAGATGAATGTTTTCATAATTCAGGTTTTCTAAAATAGTCTAGCAAACATCTGCCCACAACAATTACTGAATTCTATCAGACATCAGTGGTTCATCATTTTGAGTCCAGTGGGGCTTAAGAGAGTGTCTATTCCTAAAGGACATGGTTTATCCTTTGGCAAACAGTACTTAGCTTTCTAATGATATGTAATTGTCATTCCCTGAGTTGATATGGTTAAAGGATGATGACCAAACCTGGAAATGTGGCTAACTGAAATGAAATAAAGGTTGTAGACTTTAAAAGTTACCTATAGGAGATGATTCTTTGATCTTTCTCTCCTAATGAGTGTTGGCATCTTTAAGTTGTTTGTGTCAGTGTTGCAGGTTAAACTCATTTCCTGCAGTACTGTCCACCCTGGGGAAGGCTCCTTCCTCTTACCTCTTACATCTGTGTTTACTCCCATTAGTGAATGGCAAATACCTGGCAAATACCATAGTAAACTGTATTTGCCTTTTAAAAAAGACTTTTAAAAAAAATTTTTAATCATGTGTATATGTGTATGTCTCTATGTATATACATGAGTCTAATGCCAGTGGAGGCCAGAAGAGGCTCTTACGTCTGTGTTTACTCCCATTAGTGAATGGCAAATACCTGGCAAATACCATAGTAAACTGTATTTGCCTTTTAAAAAAGACTTTTAAAAAAAATTTTTAATCATGTGTATATGTGTATGTCTCTATGTATATACATGAGTCTAATGCCAGTGGAGGCCAGAAGAGGGCATTGGTTCCACTGGTGCTGGAGTTACAGGCAGTTGTGGGCTGCCTGATGTGGGTGCTGGGAACTGAACTCTGGTCCTTTGAAAGAGCAGTACATGCTCTTGTCTGATAAACCATTTCCAATCTCCACTTTTTTTTAAAAAAAAACAACACAGCAATGATCTGAATAGTTCCTTTTCTGTATATTTAAAATGATTAGTTTTAAGCATGAGGAAGCAAAGTTATGGTTCATGACTTGATTATCTTTCTGAGTAACCCCAACACTATTTGGCTTGTTTTATTCTTGAAGATTTACATATTCATTTGAACCAGAAAACATCATGGTTATTTCATTTGGGTCAATAGGATAAATTGCTGGTAAAGTTAAGGAAAATTTGTTTTTTTTTAAAAAAAAAGATACATTTTTAAACTTTATAATTGTTTTACAGTCAAATTTTTAGAAGTTATCAAACCTTTCTGTGGAGTTTTACCAGAAATACATACCAGAAATACAGAAGCCTGAAAGGAAAGTAAGTATATTATTTTAGTAATAAATGACTGACACTGCCAAGCCAGTAAAGTTGATTTGCTTACCCCAAGCATTTCCAGTTGTAACTGGAAAAATGTTACCTACTCATCCTCCTAGCATAGGCCTATGTTTTAATTTTTTAAATTATATTTATTATTATTGTTAGTGTGTGTGTGTGTGTGTGTGTGTGTGTGTGTGTGTGTGTGCGAACTGCACCATGATGTGCATGTGGAGGTCCAAGGACAAATTGTAGAAATTGTTTCCGTGTGGGTCTTGGGGATCGAACTTAGGTTGTCAGGCTTAGTGGCAAGTGCGTTCACCTGCTTGAGCTATCTCACCAGTCCTAGTATAGACCTTTTAAAGTGTAGATAGCTTTCTCATGCTCTCAGAAATGGAACTCTTAAGTTATAATGTTTCCAAGCCATGTACTTCTTTGGCCTGTATGTTAAGATATAGTATTCTCCTGGCCACAATGGTGGCTATAAATTTTATAGGGTATAGGGTATGTATATTGCTAGCTAATGATCTGATGTGATGTATAGGTTTTGATCACTACCAATTGTTTTACATAAATGAATTGCAATAGTTTTTTAAAGTGTCTTTTTAATATTATAGTATTTTTATTTTATGTGTATGAGTGTATTGCCTACATGTATATAAGTACACCCATGATGTATACTGCCCACAGAGGTCAGCAGAGGGCAGATTCCTGTGGAATTGGAGTTAGGGACAGTTATTATCTGCAGTGTGGGTGCTGGGATTTGAACCCTGGTCCTCTACAAGAGTTGCCAGTGCTCTTAACCACTGAGCCATCTCTAGCCACTGTAGCTCCCATTTTTAAATTTTTTCATTGGAAAGAAATGGCAGAAATGTATTTAGAAGGTATGGTAATTAAATCAAATTCTTCAGTCATTGGTCATATTTGGAACTAAGATATTTAAATTCCAGAAAAAATATGTTTGGTACAGCCGGGTGTGGTGGCGCACACCTTTGATCCCAGCACTCGGGAGGCAGAGGCAGGTGGATCTCTGTGAGGGGACAAGGCCAGCCTGGTCTACATAGTGAGTTCTAGGACAGCTGGGGCTACAGGGAGACCCTGTCCGGTTCCCAGACTATCCTTATCCCTTTTTTTTTTTTTTGGTCTATTTGAAACAGTCTTCCTATACTCCAGTAGCCCTGGAACTCACTATGTAGACCAGGCTGGCTTTGAACTCACAGAGATCCACTTGCCTCTGCCTCTCGAGTGCTGGGATTAAAGGCATGGGCACCATGCCTGGCTCCTTTCTGTATTTTCAGTGCTCATGAAATTAATAACAAAATAGGACACAGAAATGGATAAAACTTTTGTTGAACTTACTGTTTTAATTAGAAGTGCATTTCATTTTTAATGATTTGAGATGATAGTCTTCCCAGTTATACATTAGGTATCCCAAGAAACTAACTTTTTATGGTATATGAGATATTTTAGGGTTGCCTGTGTAAAACGGCCTGTTTTTACAGGCATCTCCAGTTTTGAGTAATACAATGCTAACTGAATGTGCACATTGGACCTGTGCTTCCTTTGCCTCCTCTTCTGTGTCATTTACCCGTGTACCGTATACATGAGAAATGCCTATATTTAAATTACCTTCTATGTGGTAATTTCCACCTAGCAGGTGGAAGCTAGTTAGAAATACAGGTTTACTATTACAAGTTACAGACAGATATTTCAAGTTTAATTCACTCCAATTGAATCAAAAACCTTAATGTAAGACCCAAAACTCTGAGAAGAAAAAGTAGAGAAAGCACCTTAAGATACAGGCACAGGCAGGATTTTCTTAACCGGAAATTTTCTGAACTTGGAAAATAATATCAACAGTTGACAAATTGAAGTTCATGAAATTAAAAAGTTTCTTCCCAGGAAAGGAAAAAAAAAAAACTGAGTGAAGAGACAGCCCACATTAGGGAGAAAATCTTTACTACTGTGCATCTGAGAGGATTACTATTTAAGAGTATACAAATAACTAAAAAACTTAAAAAAAACCTACCTTTTTGAAAAGCTGACATTTAACGTTTGCCAGCTGTTTATTTCAGCTGGTAGAAGTTAGAGTAAATAACAGGACCTGTCCCGATAGTGCCTGTTAGAAGTGCCTCAGTCTGCATTTTTGCTTTGTATTTGCTTTTTCTTAGTTTGCATTGACTGTTGTTTGTACTTTTGTTGTACAGATTCAGTTTAGAGAGAAGGTGCTGTGGACCGCCATAACACTCTTCATTTTCTTAGTATGCTGTCAGGTATGTACCAGATCATATTTACATTATTGTTCTAAGGTCTTGATTAGTAAGAATTGGAAAAATTCATTTTAGGTAAAATGATAATGTTGAGTAGTGCTGTTTGTTTTTAATGATTTGTTGTTGGTGGTGATTTGAGACAGGGTCTCACTGTGCAGCACTGACTGGCCTAGAACTCCCTATATAGACCAGGCTGGCCTTGAACTCACAGAGATCTGCCTGCCTTTGCCTCTTGAGTGTTGGGATTAAAGGCATGTGCCACTATGCCCTGCTAAAGTTATTTTTATTTATATTTTATTTTTTTGTCATCTTTTTGAAGCAGGGTCTCCCTGTAGCAACAGCTGTCCTGGAACTCACTATGTAGACCAGGCTGGCCTTGAACTCACAGAGATCCACCTGCCTTTGCCTCCCAAGTGTTGGGACTACAGGCATGAGCCACCATGTCCAGCAAGTTATTTTTTATTTTATGTGTATGTGACTCTGTGCGTGTGTGTCTGTGTATCATGTATGTGCAGGTGCCTCTGGAGGCCGGAAGAGTGTGTTGGATTCCTTGGAGCTGGAGTTACAGGTGGTTATGAGCTGCCCAATCTGTCCATATTAAGTAGTTTGGGTCCTCTGAAAGAACAGCAAGCTGAGTCATCTTTTCAGCACTGAGTGCTGTTTTTACTTTTTATATTTTTGCTGTGTGGAGATCGAACCCAGGGCCTTGTGTATGCTAGGCAAGTGCTCACCCACAGAGCTATATTATCACCTGAGTGTTCTTCTTCTTTTTTTAACATTTGTTTATTTGTATGTACTTGTGTGGGTGTGCGTGGCATGGCATAGGTATGGAGGTCAGAGGATAGCTTGGGGGACTCAGTTCTGCCCTTTCACCATGCGAATTCCAGGACTTGAACTCAGGGTGTCAGGCTTGGTGGGAAGTGCCTTTACCTGCTAAGCCATCTTGCGGGCACAGCTTTTTGAAGAATGGAATAGGCAGATCATTAAAGCACTTTTACCACTATACTTGGTTTAATTTTGTTTTGGATGATCAGGAGAGTAATTTTTTTAAAAAATAGAGAAAGTACAAAGAAAAAAAGAACAGGTGTTCATATTTCTACTATCTCAGATGTTCCTTCTCCCACTAAAAAATACCAGCTTTAGCTGGATGTGATGGCACAAGCCTTTAGCCAAATCTGCTGGCACAAGTCTGAGCATTTGGGAGGTAGAAGCAGGCAGATCTCTGTGAGGCCAGTCTGGTCTACATAGTGAGTTCCAGGTCAGCCAGGGCTATGAGGAGACCCTGCCTCAAAAACAAAAAACAACAAACAAAATCAACTTTATGGAGATCTATGTACAAAGTCCCCCCCCTCACACTCCCCTTTTTTGTTTTGATGCAGGATTTCACTATGTAGCCCTGGCTGGCCTGGAATTCATTATGTAGACCAGGTTGGCTTTGACCTTACAGTGATCTGCCTGCCTCTTGAGTGCTAAGATGAAAGGCCTGTACCACCACATGTGAATAAATATATCCATTTTTAGCTGTACATTCTGAAGAATTTTGACAAATGTGCTCACCCAAGAAGCACTGCCTAAGTAGATACAGAACATTTTTATTTTAAATTTTCGTTTATTATTTTTAAATTTTATTTATTATTTTTATGTGTATGCGTGTATTGCCTGCATATAGGTAAGTGCATCTGTGTCATGCAATGCCCATGGAGGTCAGAAGCAGTTGTCAGATCCCCTGGGACTGGAGTTACAGACAATTGTTAGCTGCCATGTGGGTGCTGGGATTTGAACCCAGGTCTTCCGCAAGAACAACCAGTGTTCTTAACCACTGAGCCATCTCTCCAGCCCTCGTTTATTATTTTTATTTTATGTATATGAGTGTATTGACTGCATGTGTGTAAGTGTACCCTTGTGCAATGCCCACGGAGGTCAGAGGAGGGCATCAGATTCCCTGGAACTGGAGTTACATATGGTTGTTAGCTGCCATATGGGTGCTGGGAATCAAACCTGGGTCCTCTGCAAGAGCAGCCAGTGCTGTTAACCACTGAGCCGTCTCTCTAGCCTGATACAACATTTCTTACTCCTGGAAGTTCCCCTTTTCTTATTCAGTGTCCACCTAACACTCAGTATGAGGCAAGCACTGATCTGCTTTCTGTCACTGTTAATTTGTCTTTCCTAGAATTTCACAAAAATGCAGTCATATAGTATTGGTGCTTAGCATCTGACTATAATATTTTAGTTTGAATTTCCCTGATAAATGATATTGAACATTTATTTCATTTGCTGCTTCTTTAGTATATATTTATCTTTCATAAAGTATCTTTTTAATTTTGTCCATTTGGAAAATGGACTGAACTATAAACATTTTTTATGATTTTTGGATATGTATGTTCTTTGTCCAATAACTGTATACAAATTTATTATTGTTATTAATATTTTTGAGAGGGCCTTGCTGTGTTGCTCGGGCAGCCCTTTAACTTGTGAAGTTCATGCTTCAGCCTCCTGAGTGCAGAGTGCAGGAGTATGACACTTCACTCTTAGCTAAGGAAGTTTTGCCTGTTCTACGATCATGACAATTTTTCTTTTGTGTTCTAAACGTTTTAGTTTGTATGTATCTGTCTGTTCAAGTTAATTTTGGGGTGTGGCATGAGGTGGGGATTGAAGTTCATTTCTTTCTACATAGATACCCAGTTGTTCCAGCACCATTTATTGAGAGACTTCCTGGTTGAATTACCTTAAAATTTTTGTTGAAATTAGTTTTTCATATAAGCATAGTTCTTACTCTCTTCTGTTTTGCTGATGCATATGTTCATTGTGAAGAGTAAGCTACCTTGTTTTAAATCTTAAACTTCATAAGTCTTAATTGAATGGTCTCAAATGGATGGGTGCTTAAGGGGACACTGAGACAGAGTGTCAGGAAGAAAAGAGTTTATTTAAAATTTATTCATGGGGCTGGAGAGATGACTCAGCAGTTACGAGCACTAGCTGCTCTTGTAGAGGACCCAGGTTCCATTCCCAGTACCCACATGGCATCTAATAACCATCTAACTCCAGTTCCAGGGGATCTGATGCCCTCTTCTGACCTCCGAGGGCACTGCATTGCATGACATGAATGCACTTACATACAAGCAGGCAATATACTCACACAAATAAAGATAATAATAAAAAAAAGTATTCACACTATGGACAGGCAGATAGGCACCAACACAGTGGGGGCTGTGAGGAATGTTCAGGCTCTAGCATCAGAGATATACAGCATGGTGGGGTCTTAGAAGAGAGGGTTCAGAGCCAGCATGGCAGAAGTGAGGGTCTTCTTACACCTTTCTGAGAATGGAAGTATTTCACAGCACAAGCCTGTAGTCAGGCTTTCTGAGTCCCAGGCAGGAGGAAGGGAAGAGGGCAGGGAGCAGGACATGTGACCATCAGTACCCACTTTGATAGAAACTCACTTCTCTAAGCAAGAGATCCTGGCACCTGGAAATCTGTTAGCTAGGGTCTCAGTAGGGTGCAGCCTGTGGGTATCTGAAAGGGGAAGGGCTGGGGCTACTTGCAGATATTGTGGCCTGAGCGGCTGTTGGATTCTGACATTACATTCTCACGGTAATCAGAAAATATCCTGAAACTGTGTTTTTTGTTGTATTAGCTACTTCTCTGTTGCTGTGACAAAACATCATGACCAAAGCAACTTATAAAAGGAAGAGTACTGGGGCTGGAAAGATGGCGCAGTGGTTAAGAACGCTGGTGGTTCTTGTGGAAGACCCAGGTTTGAATCCCAGCACCCACATGGCAGCTAACAGCTGTCTGTAACTCCAGTCCCAGGGGATCCGACAGCCTCTTCTGACCACCGAGGGCATTGCATGACACGGGTGCACTTACCCACATGCAGGCAATACACGCATACACATAAAATAAAAATAATTTTAAAAAATAAAGGAAAAGTACTGTGGCTTACAGTTTCAGAGGTGTTCATAATTGCAGGGAGGCATGGCAGCAGGCAGCTGGAGCAGGAAGCTGAGAGCTCATGTCTTCAGCAGCAAACAGGAAGCAGAGACAGTAAGCTGGAAGTGGGCCAGGCTGTGGACTCTCAAAGCCCACTCCAGTGACATGCTTCCTCCAACAGGGTTGTACCTCCTCGACATGCCTGATCACCTCAAACAGTGCCATCAACTGGGGACCGAGTATTCACATATTTGAGCCCACGGGGGACATTCTCATTCAAAACCACATTTATTGAAAAGGAAAAATCCTAGGTCCTTTATACTTGAATATAAATGTCTAGAATCAGTTTGTGTGTTTGTATAAGAAAGTCTGTTGGGACTATGATACATATATTACTTCGAATTTATAGAGGAACTTAAGAGAATTTTCATCTTAAAAATACTGAATCTTCTCATACAGGGGTCTCTGAACTTTTATTTATAAAGGTCCAGATAGTAAATATTTTGGGATTTGATATCCTTACCCAAGAACCCAAGAAGAAAACAGTTATCATAGCCTTTAATCCCAGCTACTCTGGAGACTAAGGCAGGAGGGTCTTAAGTTCAAGGCCTGCCTAGGAAGCCTAAGGGAACTGTGTCTCAAATAAAATCAAAACAAAACAAAAATTCCTCCTCTCTCCCTCTCCCTCTCCCTCTTAGAGTGTCCTCCAGCATTCATAAGCCTTGAGTTAAATCCCTTTATCACAAAATTAAAACAACAGAACACTCCTAACGTTTCTTATTAGAAAAGAATGCTCTTTCTCAGGAATGTTTTATGAAGTAAATCCATAACACTTTGTAAGTTACCAGTTTTTCCCGTGTGTACATAGTCTCTAAGCTGTTTCTTTTTGTCTTTTGCGTGTTTAGGCAGATCTGCTCAGTGTGGGTGATTTCTTGATTTTCTTTCAGCTGAATCTGAAACAAGTTCTAGCCAGTTTTCTGTAGCTTGAGGGAATGGTGGGAGGTGAGGTAAGCTGAGATAACTCCATTGCATGCTTCCAGAGCTCTGCTTTGACTTCTGTGGGCTGTCTTGACAGTGCCTTACCACCTAACTGTGAGGGTTACTCTACTGCAGGCTCCAGGTCACCTGGAAATTCACTGTAGCCCTATAGAATTCAGTTCCATCCTGGAGGCTCAGCCCCTTTGCTCATCTCCCTTCCATCCTGTCTTGTCAGCTGCTGTTACTACTCCCTCTTAACCAAAGCAGGAAAAAGAAGGGTCCTTGTAGTTTATCTTTCTCTGGTTTTGGAACACTAGAGGGGATTTTGAGGATTAAGTTAACTGCCCACTGTGACGGTTAGGCAGCCTGTGCTTAGTCTTTGGTGATCTGGACCATGATTCTTGGTGCTTCAAATTTATTAACTTTTTCTTTTTTTGGTGCTGTGTTACTTATGTTCCTTGTTGCTATGACAAAACACCTGACAAAAGCAGCTTAAGAAAGGAATGGTTTAGTGTGGCTCACAGCTTGAGGGTGCAGTCCATCATAGCAGGGAGGTGTGGCAGCAGCCAAGGTGGCTGGGCACCTTGTATCTTTAGTCAGGAAGCAGAGGTGAGTGCTGCTGCTTAGCTTGCTTGCTTGGCATGGGGTGGTGTCTCCCACCTTCCATGGGGTCTTCCCTCTTTTTAAACCTCTCTCAAAACATTTTCTTAGACACTCAAGGGCCGTGTCTCCTAGGTGATTCTAAATCTCGCCAAGTTAATGATCATAGCTGTGCTGCAGATTTCTTTTTTTTCCCCTTAGCTCTTAAAAACTCTGGTTAGCTCATACTATTTCATGTTTGTCTTTTACTATGTGCCAGAGCAAGAGAACTCTGAAATGGTGATTGCAACTTGCCACTTTGTTGCATTGCTGAGGGTGAACCCTGGCCCTTGCACGTGCTGGGCAGATGCTAACCATTGATGCTATACCATCTTTCAAGCCTGTAGCTTGCCATCCTATCCCAGACACACACCTTATTTAGCCACATTTCCCACAGCGTTTGAAACTCTCTGGTGTTAATTTTCTAATTCTCCAAATAGTCATTTTAGATTTCTGTTCTAGCATGCAGCGTTTGTTTTTTTCACAGTACTATATTAATATTTTTCCAGGTTTGCTAAAGGAAAGACTACAGAAAATAAAATTAGCACTTCCTTTGAGCATTTAAGGATTGGCGAATCTGGCAGCACCAAGAACAGGTTCTATTCCAGGGGCCTTTGATAGGGACTGTCCTGTAGTCTAGCTGGTTTTCACATAGTGACTTCCTTTTTTTTTTTTCTTCTTTTTTTTAAAAAAATAATTATTTTTATGTGTATGAGTGTTATGCCTGCTTGTGTCGTGCAATGCCCACGGAGGACAGAAGAGGCTGTCAGATCCTCTGGAACTGGAGCTACGGACAGTTGTTAGCTGCCATGTGGGTGCTGGGATTCAAACCCCGGTCTTCTGCAAGAACAGCGAGTGTTCTTAACCGCCGCGCCACCTCTGCGCCAGTCCCACAGTGACTTCCCATTCCTTCCCTCAGCTGAAGACTGTCTATAGATAGAGCATCGATACAGGTTTCACCAGTTTCATTGCCTAGCTAATAATGATATCCCCAGATATTTAAATTTTCTGGCAGTACATTTTAAAACCTAAAAAAAGTCAATTTCATTAGTTTTTGTTTTTGTTTTTGCTTTTTTTTTTTTTGAGACAGGGTCTCCTGAAACTTGCTATGTAGACCACGCTGGCCTTGATCTCACAGAAGTCTGCCTACCTCTGACTCCTGAAAGCTGGGATTAAAGGCTTGCACCACCATGCATGGCACATTTTTCCTTTTACATAGGTGCTGGGGATCTGAATTTGGGTACTTGTGTGCCTGACAAGGCTTTACCTACTGAACTACCTAGCCCCTATAGATGATTTTTGAAATTAGGAACTTTGTGTCTGAACCTAAGTTTGAGTTAGGGGTATGACCTCAGGCTGTATCTTAAACATGAGTTATCCTAGGATACATAGCTCATTGGTAAGGGCTTGCCTAGCATGTGCAAGGTTTTGAGTTCCTCCTCAGCACAGTAAAGAAAGTAAACATGGGTCCTATAATAGGGACTAACTTGAAGTTAAGTGTTTTCGTCTTTTGTCTTCCTGCTTTAGTCTTCCAAGTGTTGGAATTACACATGTGAACCACCATGCTTAGCTGAGGACTTAATTTTTTTCCTGACTAAAAGTAATTTGTGGGGGGGCTGGAGAGATGGCTCAGCAGTTAAGAGCACTGGCTATTCTACAGAGGACCCGGATTCGGTTTCCAGAGCCCACTATCTGTAACTCCAGCTCCAGGGAATCTGACGCTCTCTTTTGACCTCCATGGGCATTGCATGACTTGAGTGTACCTACATACTTGTAGGTAAAACACGCATACACATCAAATAAAGTCAGTATGTGTCTGGGCATATGGTGGATTACTACAGTGTTGAATTTCTACTTTATACAATGTTGAATCTTTGTGTGTTTTAATGTTGGTAATGGAATTTTAGGCAGGGTGCTTCTTGTCTTGTGGGGCTGTTCTGTGTACTAATCTCTGTTAGGTACCAATAGTACTCTTCTACCAACTTGTGACAACCGAAGATGTCTTTAGACATTGCCAATGTCCTTTTGAAGGCAAAACCACACCAGAGTAAAATCGCATATTTTATTCTTAGCATGAGGAAGCATTTATGTTATGATTACAGATTTCATAAACATAGTTTTTAGAGGCTGTATAATATTCCAGGGTATGTATGTCTTTGGTCTTACATCCAGGAAAGTGATCTTGGCTCATGAGTACCCTCAGCTTTGCAAAATTGTTCTGACTAGGCAGAAATATCCCATAACCTGTTAGGAATATTTTTAAAGTTGCTAGAAACATAATAAAATTTACTTTCTTTTTATTTTATTATTTTTATTTTATGTGTATGAGTGTATTGCCTGCATGTATGGGAGTGCACCCATGTCATGCAATGCTGTGGAGGTTAGAAGAGGGTTTCAGACTCCCCTGGAAATGGAGTTAAGGATGGTTCGTAGCTGCCATGTGGGTGCACGGAATTGAACCTGGGTCCTCTGCAAGAGCAATCAGTGCTGAGCCATTTCTCCAGCCCCAAAATTTACTTTCTTAACTCCTTGTAGGTGTGTAGTGGTATTGGGTGTGTCCCTCTCTACTGATAAGTGGATTTCCTGGTGAAATGCACTAAGTGATTTCTGTTGTTTTCATTAGAGAACTGTAAGATATGCTTACTTTGATAGGGAATCACCCAAGCAAGTGCATTGTAAATAAAGAGCAGTGTCCATTTATAAAATGCACTTGTGATTTCATGAATATATTGTGTGATGTTTTAGATACCACTGTTTGGGATCATGTCATCAGATTCTGCAGACCCTTTCTACTGGATGAGAGTCATCCTTGCATCCAACAGAGGTATGCGCTTCTCGCCTCTGTAGCGATAGCAGGCTGCTGCAAATAGTGATCTACGGCTGTTTTGTGATTTTTTTTGGCGGGGGGTTGTCTTTTTGAGACAGGATCTTCCTGTAGCCCTTGCTGGAACTTGCTATGTAGACCAGACTGGCTTTGATGCTCACAGAGATCTGCCTGCCTCTGCCTCCTGAGTGCTAGCATTAAAGGTGAGTGCTACCATGCCGTTTCATGATTTTTATAACCAGGGAGACTCAGAACAGAAATCCACCACTTAGGAGGAGAAACCAACATCTAACTAGTGACCACTGGGTTTACTCTGTGTGTGTGTGTGTGTGTGTGTGTGTGTGTGTGTGTGTTGTATGCATGCGTGTTTGAATTTGTATGAGCATAGCTCTCAACCTTATATATTGAGGCAGGGTCTCATTTGAATCCAGAATTTGCCAGTCTGGCTAGTCTAGCCAGCCAGCTTGCTGTGGAGAGCTGGTCTCTGCCTCCTGAGTGCTGTGACTACAGATAGACCACCACGCTCACCTGGAGTTTATGTGGGTGCTGGGGATCTGAACTTTGGTCTTCACACTTGCAGAGCAAGTGCTTTAACCACCAAGCCATCCCCCCAGCCCTGTCCTAGGGGTTTTCACTGACTAACGTCCCCTAATCTGCAGTGTCAGGGAGGAGATGATGCACCTGAATTGAAGTTTAGTGCTTGGACCCATGAGAGAGAAAAGCCTTAGCCAAAGTCACAGTTGTAGGAGAGCATGATGCCTCCCCTTTATCTGGGAGATTGTGGGTGCAGGATGCCATCAGTGAGTCTAAACAGGGAGGTGGGGTTCGATCATGAAGCCTCTTGCATTTCAGAAATGACTACTGCCTATTTGGGGGAAATACTTCAAATAGTTGGCAGATGCTTTTTGTAAATATTTTTAGATAACAGGAATAATATTGTCTGATCTACATTTTTTTCTTTAAAAAATTGTTTGTGTATGTGTCTGTACACACACGCATGATATGTACGTGACCCTGCATGCCACAAGGAGCGCATGAAGGTCAGAGGACAACTTTTGGAATCAGTTCTTTCCTTTACATGGGTTTTGGGGATAAAATACTGTGACGTATGTGCCCACACACATCCATCCACACACACAAAATAAATAAGTAAATAATAAATGTAATAAAAAATTTAAAACTCCAAATAAAATTTTAGTGTAAGTTTTAAAAATAATGGTTTAGACAAAAATCTTGGAAGGTTTCCCTCCTTCCTCCCTTTATCCCTGTGCTGGGGATTGAATATAGGGCTTGACGTGTGCTAGGCAAGTACTCTGTCTCTGAGCTACACCCCAGCCCCATTTATTTATTTATTTATTTTTTTTTTATTTATTTATTTTTTATTTATTTATTTATTTATTTTATGTTGCTGGGAATTGAATTTAGGGTCTCACATGTTAGGCAAGCACTCTGTCACTGAGCCTTTTTTAAAAATTGAAAAAATTGTGTGTGTACATGTGTGAGAGAGAGGGAGGGAGGGAGGGAGGGGAGCCTATATACAGGTCAGGACAAGTTTCAGGAGTCAGTTTTCTCCTTCCATCACGTGCATTCTGGGTATTCAATTCAGGGTGCCTGGCTTGGCAGCATGTGCCTTTACCAACTTAGCCTTCTTGCTGGCCTCTAGCCTTTTATTTTCTTAATTTTTTTTTTTCCCATTTTGGTGTTGGATATTGAACTCAGGACCTATCACTTAGCTGTGCCCACCAGCTGTAGGTTTCTTTAAAAAGGGATTTAATATTTTAACTTTAGAAGTTATAGAAATTAAGATTTTATAGTATAAGGAATGAATATCTGTTAACTTTTAGACATGCTTTGATTAAATGTCATTTAGGACTAGGGTGCTTCTAAATTGATCTGTGTTCTATACAGTAAATTGTTTACTTTCTGCCCCTTGCTTTACAGGAACTCTGATGGAGTTGGGTATCTCCCCAATTGTAACATCTGGCTTGATTATGCAATTGTTAGCTGGAGCCAAAATCATAGAAGTTGGAGATACACCCAAAGATAGAGCTCTGTTCAATGGAGCCCAGAAACGTGAGCAATAATACAGTTAAAGAGCTTCCCAAAATTTGAGGATGTTTGTGTAAAGATGTTTTTGTTATTGTTACTTGTTTGGGTTGTTTCTTATCTTTGGTTGTAAGCCTATACTCCTTTTTCCCCCAATTTTTGTTAGTATTTGGTATGATCATTACCATTGGGCAAGCCATTGTGTATGTCATGACGGGCATGTACGGAGACCCTGCGGAAATGGGTGCTGGGATCTGTCTGCTTATCATCATACAGGTAAGAAATCCTATTTTCATATGCTACTAAGACATTTTGGCCCTTTTTATCTAACAGTCCTTTAGGTGATTGATGCATTCATTTTCTTCTGAATTATTTTATTATATTTTGATTACTAAAGTGGTGATGTAAAAAAATTAAAATTTATGTTAATAGTTTCACAGTTGTGTCATTTACATTTTTTTACATGTTAGCATGCTTTATGTTTTGATGTCTCTGAAATCCTGTTTTTCCAGTTAACATCATTGCCAGGGAGGTGGTGGTGGTAGAGTTTGCATTGCCCTCACATGGCTGTCATCTTGGCCATGACTGCTAAGGTTACCATTGTAGCTGTTGGGTACATTATATACTTTTGGTATACTAGGTGTTTAAGTTTAATTGCTGTCTGAAATCACTTCAAAATCCTATGGTGAAGCCCAGCTCAGTGGTAAATACCTCTAGTCTCAGCTGCAGGGGAGGACCACATCTCAAAAAAAGTTATCATTGAAATGAAACTCACTATGTATGCAGAAAGTCCTGTGACAGCCATGTCTCAGTTTAAGTACATTTTCAGTAGGCAGAACACACTTCTTTATAATAAAATATTGTGTCATAGGTTAATTGGCAGGGTTTATTTACTTAATTCATTCATTTATTTACTTATGGTGCTGGCCATCAAACCCATGGTTTTGCATGTGGTAGGCAAGCATTCTATCACTGAACTACATTTATAGACTGGGCTTTTGAAGCACAGTCTCACTGTGAAGCCCAGATTGGCCTCAAGTTGAAATCCTCTTGCCTCCAACTCTGAGTGTTCACGTTTTAGGGTTGTACCACGGCCTCTAGCAGTGTTCCTTTCTTTCATAATGGAATCTAAAACAATGATGTTTTGAATAATCTTAGTGCCAATAAAATACCATATATGCTCCATGCATGTGTTCCATAGGTTTCTGTCTTTTGTGCTTGTTTTTGAAGACTGGATCTCATGTAGCTCAGGTTGACCTTGAACTCACTGTATATCAGAGAATGACCTTGAATTTTTGGTCCTCCTGCCTCTACATCCTTACTGCTGGTATTGCAGGGATTGTAGCACCACATCTGATTTATTCAGTGCCTGGCTTTGACTCTTTCACAGTATGTAATATTTAGAAGATTCTTCTAGCTGGACGTTGCAGCACACATACATCTTCAATCCCAGCACTCTTGAGGCAGAGGCAGGCGGATCTCTGTGAGATCAAGGCTAGCCTAGTCTACATAGTGAGTTCCAGGCCAGCTGGGGATACACGGAGATGCAGTCTCAAAAAACTAAAAGTATGTAATATTTAGAAGATTATTATTTAGAAGTTTTTGTGCTTAAATTCATAAAATATATATACTGTAGTCCTGGTTATCTTGGAAATTCATCTTGTCTATTGTATGAAATTAGAGTTAATTTAGAATTTTTTTCTTTAAAAGCTCACAGATCAAGCTCAGATTTTTTTTCTGGGCGGGGGGCGGGGGGTCCCTGTAGCCCCAGCTGGCCTGAAACTGACTGTGTAGAGTAGGCTGACCTCACTCTCCCAGACAGCAATATACCTGCCTCTGCCTCCCAAGTGTTGGGTGTGTGCCACCACCCCGTCTAGAAAATATTTTTGAAAAAAATATCAAATGACAGTTTACATATATTAAGATATGACTATTTCAGACTGGCATAGTTGACCTTTTTTCCCTCTAATAAGAAACCTTATATAGGGAGCAAATTAAATATTTAAGAATGTTCAGTGAGCCTGACTCAGAACAGAGAGAATTAGACTGTTGAAATATCTGTTGACATGGTTAATAAGGATGACCTCTAATGAAATACTTATTTTGTCTGTGTATTAGGGCAGGAATCTTAATAGATTATTGGGTTTTGGGTAATCTGCTGAGCCCCAATGCTGTCATTCCTCTCCAGTATAAGGTGCAGTTCCTTAGAGAATAATGTGTGCTTCATTTCTCCATTACAGATCACTTGCTTGGAATAGCCTTCAGTGCTTAGGATTTCTTCTGATGCTGTTGTAGTGTTCGGTTGTTCGTAGAACATTCCTGCCATATGTTTGTTTCTTGATAGCATTTGCTTTATTCAGCCCAGAAATTTTTTTTTATCTTTTTAAATTTTTTTTATTACATTTTTGTTTATGTTTTGTTCTTTTGCGGTGAGCATTGAGCCCAGAGCCTTCAGAATGTTAAGTTCATACTACCATTGGATTACCCCTCAGCCTAAAGTAACCTTGATTGAAAAGACATTCAGAACTGGTTTCAAGCTCTTAGAACATTTTGTACCAGTGAAATTTCTCTCATACTTTCCTAAAGATAGATTTAGACTCCTGAGGAATGTAGATGTTCTGGTTTAGTTAGGTAAGAATTGACCTTTTACAGAGCCAGTTATGGATTTAAACTGAGAGAAAAATGGATTAAATTTTTTTAATATTTATTTTCAGCATTCAGAAATCCAGTTTTTTTTTTAAACTAAGAATGAAACAAATTTTCAGCATTCAGAAATCCAGTTTTTTTTTAAACTAAGAATGAAACAAATAAGTATATAAGTATCTGTGCTGTGATGAATTCTAGTTTAATGTATAAAGAATGTGTCATGTTTGATTGTTGGTGGGCAGTGACCCATTTGTGTCTTTTCAAGGCATTGCTAACATTGAAAATATGTGGCTATACTGAAGAGCTATGATTGGATCAGTGTGTTTTCACCTAGAAACATAGGTTTTTGAAAACTATTTGCATGCTCTCTCATTCACATAGTGTTTTTCCCCCACTAATCAGTTTTGAAATCTAAATTAGGTCTTTATTAAAATAAAAAAATTTAGTGTCAGTGTGCATGGCACATAGTAAAGGTAAGTAGATTTTTTCAAGCTAAGTGGTGTGGGCATGCACATGCTAGGTTTAATATAAAGCATGATTTTATACCCACGGCAGAGGTTCACAGTGTACAGTCCACAGCGCAGAGGTTCACAATGTACAGTCCACAGCGTCCTTGGCCACTGTTGTCACCTTTGTCACCTGGTGCTCATGGTGATGCCACTGTCACTTTCTCATCCTTTATCACAAGCATGCGTGGTTTCTCATCCATCTTTTTTCCTGTTCCCTGTTTGTAGAAACCATTTCTCATTTAGATTTCTATGTGACTTCTTATTCCTCTGGAAAAACATGAGTCTAATTTTCATAGGCTATACACGAGTCACTCTGTCGTTAAGCACAGGGGTCTCAATTGTTTTAGAACTTTGTGCTTGTGGACAGATCATCTATCAGAAGCCGTGACTGGCTGATTTGTGGGTAGGGGATGGGCTGCTGTATTTATGACTGGGAAAACTAACTCACTTGGTACCTGATTGTGGTCAAAATAAAATCTAATAGTAAGTCCTTACTTCTCTCTTACCTTGTCGAAATGTCAAACTTGGTTTTCAAACAGTAAAGGGTTAGCGTGGTTTGTTATGAATTTGAGAATTATGTCTTTTTCCAGTTGATTGAAAGTCAAACTAAAAGACTGTAAATAGGCAAGTTAGGCTTTGCCCAAGCACTGAAATGGAAGTTAAGGAAAAACAAAGCCAACAACTTTGTGTAAGGTAAGCATGCTTAAATGATAAAATGTAGTTTGATGTGTTCACTGACAGGTAATAGGTAAAGAAAGGGAGCAGATAATGAAGGCGGGCAGCTTCAGAGCATGAGGAATTGAAGCCCTTCTTGGTTTCTTTAGGTGAGAGTCTGCAAAGCCAGGATCTGTGTTTGATAGGGGGCAGAGAAGCAGGCTTTATTTTTATTTCCCCTTGTGATTGGGTTATTCAAATCAGGAAGAAGCTGTGACTGGGGAAGTCATTAGAAGTCAAGACTACTGTTTTTCATTGATACATGTTTTTTTACAGAAATGTCTTCTCCAAGAATAGCCATAAATTTAGCATATTTTCATTTTTTTAAAAAAAATGTGAGTTAAAAACCTGAACTCCTGGTCAGGCGTGGTGGTGCATGCCTTTAATCCCAGCACTCAGGAGGCAGAGGCAGGTGGATCTCTGAGTTCAAGGCCAGCCTGGTCTACATAGTGAGTTCCAGAACAGCGGGAATAAATAAATAAATAAAATAAAATAAAATCTAAACTCCTCTTTTCAAATTTGCATGTGATCTTTGTCACAATAATAAATCTAGAATGAATTTTATAATTTGTGTACTTACTTGTACTCTGGTGTTCGGCCTATTCTACACATACTGTTATATAGAAAATACATGTAGTGCTTTGTAAAATCATCAACCTAGTCCTCATTCTTACTCCTTAGGGCGTAGAGAATGGCTTTGTTATTTTTCTGTACTTCATTTGACCTTTTACTTACTTGGAGGTATTTGGACTATTTTTAGTTTCTTCATATCAAATTCTATAGTTGTGATAATTTTTTAATGTTCTTGTGTTTTTGTTTTCCCAATAGGCCCAATTTAAATATTCCAAAGGGAAACTATCCAAATAGTATAAATGTACTCTTGAGATGAAATGTCTGTTATATAATGAAACAGTATTTCCAGACTTTCAAAATTGACTTCTGACTAACTCGGGTCAGAAGCTGCAGAGAGAGCACCGTGCTGAGAGTGTAACACGTAGGTCTGAGGTTGGGAGCACACATGCCGTGAACTAGCCCAGAGTGTTCGTCTTCCCCTTCCTGAGTTTATTCTTGCTTCTGCTTACGTGCATTTCTTTCCCCACAGTTGTTTGTTGCTGGTTTGATTGTGCTGCTGTTAGATGAACTGCTACAGAAGGGTTACGGCTTGGGGTCTGGTATTTCCCTCTTTATTGCCACCAACATCTGTGAAACCATTGTCTGGAAGGCCTTTAGTCCCACTACCATTAACACTGGCAGAGGTACATTGCACAGTGACTGCAACTGCACGAGTTTTGCTGGATGTGTGCTGATAACGAGTCCAATAATGCAGCAGTACATGCCTGTAGCCATTCCAGTTTGCTATCCCAGGGGACAATGAATGCTGACTGTTGAAAACTTAAGCAGAGATGTGTGAAGTATACCAGAAGAATACATTTAAACCTCTGCTTATTTAAAGGTCCACTGGTTGCAAACAGTATTCAAAGTTTTGTTGACCTTGCTTAAGCCATTGCTGCCAAAGTAATTTACCTCCCTGATTGCAGCATCCAGGAAGAGAGAGAAGGTAGTGGATTTAGATTTTGCTCATGAAAAGACTTGCTCATTGTGTCTTTAGAGAGCACTCATACTTTGCCTTTCCAATTGATTGGCTCTGTAATAGCATCTAAGTTTTGAAAGAGCTCATTCTGTCTTTCCCCATACCCATTTCTACTTCTCTCAGTTGTCATCCTGTTTAACTAGTTAATGTCTAACTCTGATCCCAGGCTTAAAAAAATAGTAATGATAACTTATTAATGTTCTGGTGCAGTCAACTAAAGGCAAGCTTGGTAGATAACATATCTGCTTTGATTCTGACATTTTGATTCTGCTTTGCTGCTGCTTTTTTTTTTTTTTTTTATTCTTAAAAACACTCCATTCCTTTCCCTAAAGGAGAGGCAAATCTTTATGAATAAAAACTTGAGATTTATGTTGAAATTTGCCTCTGTGATATAAATATGTCTAGGTCCCCCCCACATGGCTGTGTCCTAAAGCCATAAAACAAAGTCATGAAACAGTGATAAATTTTGACTTGAGGGTCACATTATTTGTTTTAACCTTTGGGATGACTTTGGAAGAAGCATCTTGATTTCTGTCTTGATTTTTCAGGTACGGAGTTCGAGGGTGCAGTCATAGCTCTGTTTCATTTGTTGGCCACTAGGACAGACAAAGTCCGAGCCTTAAGGGAGGCCTTTTATCGGCAGAACCTCCCCAATCTCATGAACCTCATTGCCACGGTTTTTGTGTTTGCTGTTGTTATATATTTTCAGGTAAGTATAATCTTTTCACGGCAGTAAGTAGGATTTACATGTTTATTTTGCTCTTGACAAAGGAGAATGCTATTTGAAAGGTTGGTGCCTAGCAAGTCACTGTTCCAAGATCCATTCTCTCAACTCTAGTTTGATGGTAGAAAATATTGGTTATGAAATAAAAGGTCACTGTTTCGGGGGGAAGCGTTTTGTTTAGCTTGTCTTCTCATATCCCTGCTGTTATGTGTTTTTCTCTCTGGTTTGAACTTTCTTGATCTGTCGTTTCTTACTTACTCTTGATTTCATTTCTAGGGGTTTCGTGTTGACTTGCCCATTAAGTCGGCCCGGTATCGAGGACAGTACAGTAGCTATCCCATCAAGCTCTTCTACACCTCGAATATTCCCATAATTCTCCAGTCTGCCCTAGTTTCAAACTTGTATGTCATTTCCCAGATGCTGTCTGTTCGATTTAGTGGCAACTTTTTAGTAAACTTACTAGGACAGTGGGCTGTGAGTATGTTTATTTGTATTAAACATTTAAAATTTGTGATTTGTATTTTATAGTTGTATCTTTAACTGACCGAAATAGATAGTGAAGCATTTTCTGTAACATTTTGAAACTCATTACCTGTAGCACTTATTTTTTGGAAGAATAGGTAAATACTGTGAAACTAAGATTGGCCAAGTGGGGTGGGGGTAGGATGAAGGGAGGGGAGAAGTGATTTACAGGTGACATATGGGGACCAGAATCATCCTTTACTATTTTCCCTCTATTTTCATTGCCAGAATAGCAGTAAACTAGCTTTGATTAACTATGCTAGAGATGGACAAGACCAAAGAGACAGATAAAGCACAGTTCAGTAAATCCTGACTTTTTACAGATCTTTATTATAACTTTGAAAGCAGTCTAGCATGTTGCTTTGGGAATCATTGAGTTAAAAAATTTTAATTGGTATAAAATACTATCATGGGGGCTGGAGAGGTGGTTCAGCGATTAAAAGAACTGGCTGCTCTTCCAGAGAACCCGGGTTTGATTCCCAGCACCCACATGGTGGCTAACCATCTGTAACTCCAGTTCCAAGGGATCTGAAGCCCTCTTCTGACTTCTGTGGGTATTGTACAACACACATATATATGCACAGACAATACACTCAGACACATAAAAAAATATTTAAAAAAAAATGCTGTCATCAGAACGGAGCGTGGTGGCACACGCCTTTAATTCCAGCAGAGGCAGGCAGATCTCTGAGAGTTCAAGGCCAGTCTGGTCTACATAGTTCCAGGACAACTGGGGCTACAGGGAGACCCTGTCTCAAAAAGACCAAAAAAAAAAAAAAAAAAAAGTAAAAGAAAAAAAAGTATTTTTCTTTTTTTTATTACTTTATATAATATATAATTGTAGTATATAATTGTAGTATATAATGCTAGAATTTGCTTTCACCAAATACATTAATTGTTTGCAGTTGCTCTTTGTTTTATTTATTTTATGTGTATGCCTATATTGCCTGCATGTAGGTAAGTGCACCCATGTCATGCAATGCCCCTGGAACTGGAGTTTTTGAACTTTAGTTGTTAGCTGCTATATGGGTGCTGGGAACCAAACCTGTGTTTTCTGCAAGGGCAGTCAGTGGTCTTAACAGATGAGCCATCCCTCCAGCCCCAACATTGTCATAATTTTTGAAAAATTTTAACACATAAATCCTGGTCGGTTATGGCTGTTTTCTCAGCAGGAAGATCACTTTAGCCAAGAGTTTGGACCCAGCCGTGGCATCATGGTTAAGACCTTACCTCATGAAAGAAAAAAAGGGCTCAGGTCTAGGTGTAGGGGATGTAGTGTACTGAGGTGAACCATTCATCCCTCTTATTCTTGTTTGGCAGGATGTCAGTGGGGGCGGCCCTGCACGCTCTTACCCTGTTGGAGGCCTTTGTTACTATCTTTCTCCTCCCGAGTCCATGGGTGCCATATTTGAAGATCCTGTCCATGTCGTGGTATATATCATCTTCATGTTGGGATCATGTGCATTCTTTTCTAAGACCTGGATAGAGGTGTCTGGCTCCTCAGCCAAAGATGTAAGTTATGTGGTTTAGGAATAATTTTTTAAATGCATAATATTTAGGTAGCAAAATAATATAGTTACTTTTAAAATTTTAAGGTTTGTTCATATATTCTTTTTGCCTTTCTTTTTCCCGGAGCTAAGGACCAAACCTAGGGCCTTGCTGTGCCACTAAGCTAAATCCCCAACCCCAAATTGGTTCCTGGAAGGTCTATACTTCTTAGTTTTTACAGTGGCATTATTATTACTATTTAACTTTGTGTTTTTCCAATGGCTCATGATCCTCCAAAACTCATCCCTACTCAACAGACTCTTACTTTAGTATTTAATTTTCTCTGGGGAGACAATGTAAAAAGCCTGAGCACTATGGCATCCGTGGCTAACGTGGCTGGCAGCACTGAGACCTGTCTAGCAGGAGCGATACAATGCCCGCTTTGAGGTCCTTGTACTTTGTGTAGAAAGCAATGACATATGAGCAATTTAATCTCAAAAGGTGTGTTTTTCTCTTGGCAGGTAGCTAAACAGCTTAAAGAGCAACAGATGGTGATGAGGGGCCACAGAGACACCTCCATGGTCCATGAACTTAATAGGTAAGTTGTTAAATACATTTATTTATAGAATTACTATGTTTGTGTTTTTATCTCTAAAGGTTGTCTCTTCAAATTTATAGGACAACCAAAGTGTACTTAATTGTTGATCACATCAAAATGACTCCTGATAATCTTGTAAACTGAAATTGTGCTTTTCATTGCTCACTACAGTGGTACAACAGTGCACATCAGTAGTTCTTGGCACATAAAGCACCAGCGAGTGGGATTTTAAAACACTGTGTCCACCTCTGGGAATTATGATTTGTTTCCAGGCATCAGATGTTTGACCTTTGGTGATGGCTTCATAGAGATAAAATTCTCAGACAGGTCAAGCACTGGGTATATTGGCACACACCTTTAACCCCAGCACTTGGGAGGCCAAAGCAAGATGACTGCTGAACATTCGTGGGCTACCTGGTCAGTGCCCCACCAGTATGGGCCAGAGTGAATGAAACCTTGTCTTCAAAAAGTACAAAGTCCGTTCTGGGCATGGTGGCGCATGCCTTTAATCCCAGCACTTGGGAGGCAAGGGAGGCAGATCTCTGTGAGTTTGAGGCCAGCCTGGTCTATATAGCGAGTTCCAGGTCAGCTGGGGCTACAGGGAAACCCTGTCTCAAAAAAGACCAAAAGAAAAAAAAAAGAAAAACAAAGTACAGTGTTTTTTTTTAGTGTATGTAGAGCTGTTCGATATTACAGTGTAATTTTAAAAAAGTTTTACTTGTCAGAAAGACTAGTTATTCCTAACTTGTTTCTCCTCCTAGTCTTCCTAAGCCACCCCCCCTTTACTTATTTCTGTAGATCTGTCTTCTTTGGCTTGTCCATATATAGAATCATTTCATTCCTTTTATTCTTGAACAATACTGTGTGTCCTTATTTATCCATTCATTAGTTGATGGGAATTTGAGCTGCTTATACATTTCAGCTATTATGTATACTGCTATTGTGAACACACTTGGGCAAATTCTTATTTCTCTACAAGTGGAAATGTTGGGTTATACACTAACCCTGTTTAACATCTGGAGAAAGTGCTATATTTCCAAGTGACTGCACAATTCTACATTCCTACCAACAGATAAGGGCTCCTGTTACCACAAACCGTGACCGGCAGCAGTTCTTGCTTTTTCGTTTTCGTGACCCTCACAGGTGTGGAGTGATAGCTTTCTCATCGTGCTTTTAGTTTCCTAAAGATGGTGAACATCTTTTTGGTTATTTATTGACTAATTATTTGTCTTCCCTGGAAAAATGTCTTTTCAGATGCTTCACTTTTTTTTTTTTTTTGGTCTTTTTGAGACAGGGTCTCCCTGTAGCCCCAGCTGGCCTGGATTCGCTATGTAGACCAGGCTGGCCTCAAACTCTCAGAGATCCACCTGCCTCTGCCTCCAGTGCTGGGATTAAAGGCGGGCACCACCACACCTGGCTTCTGCTCATTTTTATATTGGGTTATCTTTGTTAGTAAATTTAAGGTCAAAAGGTGCTGTTGGGTCTTTTTGGATAGAAATATGATTTTCCATTTTCTCCAATTCTGAAAGTTGGCCTTTCATTTTCTTGATGCTTTGACTGCAAGTTTTTAATTTAGGTGAAGCCCAATTTTAATTTTTCTTCGGCTTCTCTGTGCTGCTTTTGGTGTGGTAGGTTAAAAAAATTGCCAAACCCAAATCAAAGATATATTTCCTTAATGCCTTTCTCTTAGGCATTTAGGTCTGTGACCTACATTGAGTCAGTTTTTCTGCTTGCTATGATAGGGGTCCACATAAATTTCCTGGCAGCTTCTGAAACTGGCACTAGTATTTTTATGTAAATCTTCTATTCATTTTGAACACACTATAGGGATTACTGTAACAAGCCACCAGCTGCAGGAGTTAACGTCATCCTGCACTTCTTTACTTCCTTTTTTTTCCTCAAGTAATAAAAACAGACACAAAACCTCTAAGGTTTGGTGTGGGGCACACACCTGTAGTTCCAGCACTTGGGAGATAGAAGTGGGACAATCAGGAGCTCATCATCCTTGGTTACACAGTGAGTTTGAGATGTTCTGAGCTATTCAAGACTGTCTCAAAACCAACAACAATAACATTTTAAAACAATTTGGGTGATTTTAATGTGTAGTAGCTATGGTTAAATTACTGTTGAAAAGCATCAGATTTTTGCCACATCAGTTTGTTGACACTTAGAAAGCATTTTGAAAGTTATGTTTTACCCCATAAGAGGGAACCTAGAGGGATCAAGAATATTAAACATTTTAGCCAGGTGTGATGACACGTGTCTGTGATCCCAGAACTCTGGAGGTAGAGGATCAGGAGGAGTTCAAAGGCAGCCTGGGCTACATGAAATCCTATCTCAAGAAAACCAGAAACATTTTAGCTGGGCATGGTTGTTCATGCCTGTAATCCCAGCATTTGGATGCTAATGGAGGATTGCTATGATTTCAAGGCCAACCTTGGGGCTACAGAGTAAGACTATGAAAAAAAAAATACACACACACACACACACACTCACACTCTGTAACACACCTAATTTTATATAT